GTAACTACTGCTCTTTCTTCATTTATCCCTGCTGGCTTTCTCTGCCAGCCAATATACTAACGAAGAGGGCATCTCGAATACACTCGGACTTCCCCGATCATTCGAGAAACATCACGCACGCTACCAGCGCCAATGTAGACCAGCAGCGTCATGTGACATCTGCTGTTGTAACATAACGTAATACAACTCAACTGACTTGAACAAAGCATTTGTTTGTTTTTTAAATTAAACACAAAGCTACATAATAAACTATCTGTGCTCTACCTATCACACATATTGAAACCTGGTTTCTAACATTGTAAGTCCACGGACATAGTGCTGTGCCACTGGGGGGGGGGGCTTGACCAAAGTAGCTACGATAGCTAAAACACTGATTGATTCAACTATCTGCCTCGAAAATAACTCTCTATTTTGAAATACTAATCCTATTCGTTAGACTTGACATGCCTGGTGGTTAGGATACTCGACTCGCAACATGCGGGTCGCTATTTCGAATCCTGTCATCAAACATGCTTGTCCTTTCAGCTGTGGCGATATAATGTAACAGTCAATCCCAATTTTCGTTGGTAAAAGGGTGGCTCAAAAGTTGGTGGTGGGTGGCATTGACTAGCTGCCTTCCCTCTTGTGTTCAATTTCTAAACTAAGAACAACTAGCACAAAATCCAAAAACAAATAAACACCTATCTCTTTGACTATTTTTCAACTCCCTCTCTAACTAACTTAACCTAACAACACTTCACGGAACATGAAATATAACCAGTGTTGAAACATGCTAAAAGAAAACTTGACATCAAATCTTAGAACTTTCTAAGCAGCTTATTCAACGTTATCATTTACAACACGCAGCTCCCTCCTGCTAACAAACAAATTACAACATTATAAATATAGCTTATAACAAACAGTGCTGTTACAACAGCGGAAGTCGCACGACGCAGGGAGCATGCTCTGGAGTTCTAGAAAGATGGAGGAACCTGTTGAACGTCCTAGTGTTTGCCAGACGCCTTATATTTTGTATATATAAGTCCGGCAAGGAGTGACAGCAGAGATAATTGCAGAGAGAGAAATATAGAGACAGATAATCGAGTCAAGCCGTAAGTAAAGTGCGTGAATCGTTGTGAATTCTAGCGTGTGTTGAAGTTAAAGTGACTGTGGAAATTAAGTGTATTGCAAAGTTGTATTGAGAAAGAATAAACGAGTTTTATTTAAGAAAGGATTTGTATCGTTTAAGTTTTTCGGAAAGAATTTCTACGGGAAATTAACAAACAAGCAGATACCTAACACTGCTTTTATAAACATATGCTATAATTCACAGCGATTCACACATACTTTACTTACGGTGCCTACTGTTCGCTTGACCTAATTCTCTATCTTCAATCTATCTACGGCTTATATACTAAAAAAAGAGGGCGTCTAGCAAACGCTGGGACATTCGTGAGGATGCCCGGTATGTCACGATCCTTCTAGAAACTCCAGCGCGCACGCTCCCAGCGTCGCATGACTTCCGCCGTCGTAACAATACAAATGTTTCTTCTAAATGTTTGCTCTAAATAACTTATATAAAGAACTACAATATTAATGTTTGTTCTAAATGTTTGCCCTTTACATCTACCCTAAAATGTTTAAACTTATTTCGTTATATTTTAATTTACCTTTATGAAATATTGGAACTTTATAAATTTAGAAAATTTTGTAACGTA